AATAACTGTCCGGATGACAAGGACATTTTTGATGTTAATCAATAATAACGCTAACAAAAGCAAAGTTACCAAACGTACAACGCAAAAATCCCATCTCTTGAGACTGATCGTCGTGGCCGAACTTCAGTCCGGAGGACATTAATGCTGACGCTAAATATTAGTGTATCCCAGTATCCCATTCCCACTGCTGTTTACCGGTTTAAAAGGTATAATTACAGGCTAGAATAGAATAGAATAGTATTTATACTGCTTATTACATAATACTTATTGAAATTAGAAAGTCATATTTTAATTTACCACTTGTTCGGAACATACCTCTGTCCTGGGAAGAACCAGCAAGAAACCTATCGGGATTTTTAAACATATTAGGGTTTACAATAATTTTGTTAATGTTATGTTGTTAATAGAATCAGCATGGTGGCGATCACCTCACTCCCAGGGGTTATTTTCACTCATGTATTTCTTGATGTTATAAGAACCTTTTTGTACAATTTTTCTCTTTTAAACTTGTTTATTGACAAACTTGGAACATTTTCTAGGATTTTGTTGAAAAACCCTATACATTGCCCCATAAATGAATTACTAATTCTGTGGAGTCTAGTAACTGGCATTACAAGCTTATGTTTGTTCCTAGTCAAAGACATTTAAGTAGTAGTAGTATATATTTAAATCTCGCAGAACAGTTGATTGTTTCAATGATTTTGAGGCGGGTGGAAGGAAAAGGGGAGATCTCCCGCCGGGCAACGTGTTCTGCCCGGGGAGCGGCCACCGCTCCGAGTGGTAGTTCCGAGCTATTCTATATATACTGTTTTAACTTCGGAACTTTTAGGCTTCGATGTGTTTCGCTTGTGGCGCGACGACAGGCTAAACTTTGTATTGAGGATTTTTTTATAGAATAAGGGTGACAAACGAGCACACAGTTCACCCGATGGTAAGTGGTTGCTTTGGCCCATATACATCTACATCTATCTTCGAATGCGAATTAAAATGCAGATGCGTTGTCAGCTGTGAGGATGATAGAATGCCTCTTTTCCAGTAAAAAGGGTCTCCGGTTCTCTACATTCACCATATGAAACAGAGCAGCATTAGGCTGCTATTTTACGCTGGTATTCTGTGAGAGCGTGGTCGAGCCAACCCATTCGTGCTGCAACTATACTATTAATATAGCTGCAGCATGGCTCTACCACGTTAAAAACTTATTCTAGTTTTGTTTAGAAAAAAAGAAAGGATTCCAACATTAAGTACAATACTGAAGAATAGACCGCACCAGAGTATTAAATAATTAATGTTGTAGACTGTTTAAAATCTTTTGAGATACGCGAACCAAAACCTAGCATTAAGCTATTTGAGTTATATGTGATCCCAATAACAACTTACTATCCAACCGAACAGGATCACGCAGTTCATTTACTCTTGTTAATAAATTATCATCTAGCTTATAATTAAATAAGATGGGATTCTTTTTCCTAGTAAATGAAAGAACATTACATTTCCTGATGTTCAGGTAAAGATAATTTGCTTGACAATATGAGCATGGCCTTAGATCTTCTTGAAGTAGACTGCAGTTCTCTTATAGTGTTAATAGACCTGAAAATTTTCATATCATCTGCAAAAAAGAGAATTTTGAAGTATGGAAGCAGGATTGTTCTAGTTACCATGTGAAATTATGTCAAATGCTTTTGTATAATCGGTGTACACTGCATCTACCTGCAGTCCACTATTCATAGAGATGATCAAGAAATTCGTAAATACTTTCTGTATATTTACAAATATAATCTTTACAAAAATACAAATATAAATACAATAACAGCATGGTTTTACAGACTTTCGACCTGTAAAACCAAGCTGTTAATTTTTTTTTTTATTATATATTTTGCATGCCACAAGAAATACATCATACATCAAGTGACGACCCGTAGGGGCATAGCAATTTATAAGAGGGTAGTTATTTATTTTATTATACTAAATATTAACTACTACATACTAAATACCAACTATCTTATTTCTTAGCATTTGCTAGTCTAACATCAATTTTTTTTTAAATTATTACACATACATTTACTATTTATTTGCATCTATAAAGAATTCACTTCAATTATAATAACTTTTATCGATTAAGAATGACTTTAATTTTTTTATAAAAGACTTGGTGTTGTCAATATTTTTGAAGTTATTTGGAACATTATTATATATTTTAATTACCATCGTATGGGGACCTGTAGTTAGGGTTACCATATCTCAGGATTTGTCCTGAGATCTCAGGATTTTTGGACTCTTCTCAGGATTGCGGCTGGATTTTGTAAATCTCCTGAAATCTCAGGATTTTTAGAATTTTCAATACAAACTAAAAATAATCTTCCTTTGGTAATAATTGCACAATTAAAAATCAAATTTTATTTATCCAAGTAGGTACTTAAACAGTTTTATCATACTTAATATGTGAAGATATCGTTTTAAGTAAGGTTTTTTCTTTAATTATTGATTTATAATATAATGCCCACATGTTAAACTCTTCAAATTATGTATATTGAATTAAAAGTATAGCTCGAACTGAAGACACCGTGTGTCGGTTTCTTTCATTCGACCATTGAGCCCCCATAATAGAAAAAAATCTTTCTACGTTTACATTCTGGGCTGTAATTGCAAATATATCTTGACAAATAGGCATTATCTCTGGTAATCGTGAAATACCTATTATTGTCTTGAAAACGGTTAAAGCATATATTTCATTTTAAATTGAGATTGATTGATGATGATTTACTTGAGTATGGTTAAAACAGTCCAATCTTCGCAATGGGGTGGAACTGAGTGAGTGTGCGACACTACTGTCATAAGTACGATGCCCCTGCCTATAATGTTGACTTTTTTTTAATTTTTAAGTACGTTGGAGAGAAATTTCTCAAACTATAAGAAATCTCAGGATTTTTCACGGGAAATCAGGCCTTTTCTCCGGGCTTTTGATTTTTTCATCTGGTAACCCTACCTGTAGTGCATAATTTTAATTTGAGAATTGAATATTCAATTTATTTTGAGTTCGATTATTTCTTTTAACAGTATTTACTGGATCGTATAGATTTGGATGTTTTCTAACGAACTTACAACATTCAACAATGTAAATAGACGTAAGTGTGAGTATACCAAGTTTTCTAAAATGTGGTCTGCATGAGTCCGTATTTTCTATATTTGTCAAGATTCTGATACATTTTTTTGCAATTTGAAAATATTATCTATGTCAGTACAGTTACCCCAGATGACTATTCCATAAGTTAGTATAGACTGAGCATACGCATAATACGACGAAAGAGCTGTTTTTAAGTCAGTAACTTTTTTCAAATGTATGATTTCATTCATTTCCCAAATAGTTTTGGAATCGTACTTAATTTTGAAAAAGAACGGTATTTTCAAATATCGTGCTTATTACCACTTTTAAATATGGGAGTTATGAATGATTTTTTTCCATAGTAAAGGTATTTTATCGAACTTCATGGAAGCTCTAAACAAAACTAGAATTTTAAAGAATTTAAAAAAATAAAGTTCTTGAAGCTCATCAATGGTTTGATTTGTGAATGTTTGTGCGTGGGATTGTGCGTGGGTAGGTGCCGTTCGCGTCTCTGTGTGTGAGTGTGCGTGCGCGCGCGCGTGTGTGTGTGTGTGTGTGTGTAGGTTTGCGCGTGGGTGGGTGGGTTTGCGCGTATGCGTGTGTACGTGCGTGCTTGTACGTGCATATATGTACGTGTGTAATGTGTATCATATAATCTGCCTACATTTAAAGCCTATCAAAAATCAACTGCTGAAAGCCTCATGTATAGATTGCCGCACAGGCGAGATAATTGCCGTAAACTTAGCAAGCGGGTGGACAAACACAGGTTTTTTTACTCAAATGTTATCAGGAAAATGCTGCTGTCCATCTCCTGGTTCTACGTCGCTCCTAGTGGATAGACATTCATACCGTGTGAAAACGTAGAAAAAATGTAGCTTGCAAGCAATATATATTATTATTTTAGGTACATAAGTGAATTTTATTTATTATTTTCTTTTTTTTTATCATCCATACAACACAGTTTAATCAATCTACGTGTTCGCCCTATAAGTATTAACGACTAAATTATTTAAGTATTGATAGCAACGTGGTGCAGTGGCCCAGCATTGGGTTGCGGCGCTAAGGGCCGTGGGTTCGAATCCCGCATCTAATAAGTATTTGTGTGGCCAAATAATTGTACGGGGTCTGGATGTTTGTCCTTGTGCAATTTATGTATGGAAACTACCTCTACGATACAGGAGAAAATCCTAGTGGACGTAACGTTTTAAAAAATAAATTTAAAAAAGTATGTACGCGAGCAGAGGTTGCCATGACCCCGAGCAGCAGAGTTTATACGTTGACGGCATTCCGATATTTGTAAATGCAAGTCATCTCCACTTAACTTTTGTAAATGACCTGAAAACAAAAACTCGACGAAACTAGACACTCACGTAATTTGTTTATGCACTCAAGTGTATAGACCCAGTTTTCAAGTGTGTACACTTTCGGAAACACATTACACTTGTAGTTTCGCTTTCATTCTGTCGCTGACATCAGTATTGCATTTGCATCAAGTGTCACTTTAGTCGTGTTCCGTGTAAAGCGAAGAGCAGACTTTAATTTCGAAAATGCCGGCCTCTAAAATGTGCTCACTGGGGGCAGGAACCCCTGTTCTGTATGCAGAATTAGGGGTATACATTATATATATATACTAGCTGACCATGAAGACGTTGTTCTGCCCTCTCCGACGACCCTGTGTCCTATAATAATTCTTAAATTCGTAATAAAAAATATTGAGGGTCGCTTATAGTTATAAAAACTATCCTATCTCTCAAGTTGGACCAAACTGCACACAGTGTGCAAAATTTCATTGCAATCAGTTTATTAGCTTAGGAGTTCATGGCGGACAAACAATGTGACACATAATTTTTATATATAAAGAATATATATAAAACAATTAGGTAATTACTTTTTTCTTTTTAATCTTTAAACCTCTCAAGTTTCCCAACATGATTTAAAAAGTTACATATAATTTTGTACATTAAAAGACATCTAAACAAAGAAAGTTATAAAAACGAAATATAATTTCACATAATGATGAGAAATGTTTATTTTAACTTGAAAAAATGTCTTGCGAAAAATCACAACACTAAAGAAATCTATCAAATGTTTAGAGCTAATTTAAAAATATGCATTTTTACAAACAAACAAAGAGCTTTATTTTGGCGCTAACTCATTTCTTAGGTGGTTAACTGTGGTAGTTTAACTAATCTGAATACTGAGCATTTAAGGATTTCATGAGTTTATCTTGATTGAAATGACAGAGCACTGAATCTTCCGTGCATATATTGTAAATAACAATTGTTCTGGCCTTATATTTTAAATACATTTATACCTTATGATTAAATACCTTATAATTTTATGTCGCCAACTGCAAACTTACACTTAAGACAGGCAATATATATAACTCCTATAGTCTTACCAAAAAAATAAAGTCTTCAAATTGAGATGCTTTTTTTCAGCTATAGCAATAAATATTATAAAATGATCATGACAACATGAACTGTTTTTCAATTATTTTTATAAATAATTCATGATTGGAACTTTGTTTGATGACTTTTAACGCATTATGATTTAATTTCCAAACAAATCACTAGATGATTAAGGCCTCTCCATGTGTATATCGTATTTTTCCATGAGATTATGACTCCCTGTCACTACTAATACTCTTTCTACATTTTTAAACAACATAATGCCAATACTAGGATCTCCTGTTTGGCAAGGCCTGTAATATGCCTATACTCATGTAGAATAATCAGATACCTGCCAAAGATGGCAACTATGTCAAATATCTTCTCTATGGAGGCAATCTATGGAAAATGCCCTTGTTGGTTTATTCATGGTGGAGCCACACTGCAGTTATATTACTGTGGTAGGACGACGGGTCGACTCAACTGAGGTAGAACCACACTCTCACAGAATGTCTAAAATAGTAACTAATGCTGCAGTGTTACTTATGGGGAGTGTAAAGAATTGAAGACCCATTTTACTGGAAACAAGGCTGAAAACAAATCTCCAGGGACGACAATGCTTCTAAATTTAAACTTAATTGAGGATAAATGTAGAAGTCTATAGAACATAGCATCCACTTCTGATGATGCCTCATTTAGTGGTCAAACACATGTAATTGATGATGGTGTGATTTTTCTAGTATTGGAATTAGCAGTAACAGTGGATAGTGCACACAATTGAGGTTAGGAAGGTGCTCTTCAAACTAGATAAGAGACATTTTTTTATAGGATAGGATGACAAACGAGCACACAGTCCACCTGATGGTAAGTGGTTGCTATGACCCATATACATCCACATCTATCCTCAATAAAGAATTAAAATGCAGATGCGTTATCACCCGTGAGGACTAAGATGGAATGCCTATTTTCCAGATAAAAGGGTCTCCGGTTCTCTACACTCACCATACGAAACACAGCAGTGTTAAGCTGCTATTTTATGCTGGTATTCTGTGAGAATGTCGTCCTTCCCCAGTCGAGCCGACCCATTCATGCTACAACTATACTACTAATATAGCTGCATCATGGCTCTACAACGTAAATGAGAATTTTCCCACACATCTTAGCTGCTTAAATTTAACATTCAATGCTGTAAAGGTTACAATATAACACAAACATTGCTTTCGTTTTAATAAACTTTAAATCAAGAAAATTTACTTGAAATTGGAACAGATTGAAGTCAGTATATGATGTTAAATATTAACTGTTGCCCAAATATTATCTGTTTTTTTTTTTTAATATTTGCAATATATTAATGTTTTTTATTCTTTTTAGGTCAGAATATAAACTAAGAACAACTTCTTGTATATATACAGTCTATAACATTTTTACTTATACTAATATACACAAAAATATTGAACCAGAAACGCTCTTAATAACCAAGGGAAATCCATTTTAAAAATATTACATAATTATTCATTTGCTTGCAATCTGCGATTATTACCTCGTTGATGGCCCCTGCCTCTAACATAAGTCTTATGGGTATGCTTTCCTGAGTGTTCCTGTGGAGCCCCTGCTCCAAAGCGCTCTTGCTTAGGTGCAGTATGTTGAGTCCCCTGGCCACCTGCAGGTGTGTTCGACATTAATGAACGTGGCCCGGGGTGAGCCCCATTACTACGATCGTTCGGCGGTTGTGCACCGGGAGGTGGAGCTGAAGAAACCGGCTGAGGCTCACTCATGTTCACTTGTTCATTAAACAACATGCAAAACTCTCCCACTTTTTGGATATCACCCGACTTACCAGAATAAAGAGTAAGTGCGGAGCGCCATAATGATGCATAGCCTCGCGTGAGACGTATGATATCACCCGGCTGCAGCAATGCACCAGGCTCATCCCAAACTGAAAGATTAACAGAAGCAGTGGCGTCTGCAACGCGTAATGTACGCACTTCTCTTGCTTCTTTCGTCAATGTCACTGGGCCTACCTCTAATACTATAAATATGGAGTTTATGTTCTTCATGCCTGGTTTCAAGTCCTTTATTTGGATATACTCCGCTGTACTCATTATTAAGTTTTGTTCCTTAGTTGCTTGATAAAGTCAATAAATTCTGCCTTTTTACACGATAAATAGAAATGATGTAAAAAATATAACCTATTTATGAAAATTGATTATCGATATATTACAAAAAAGTAGTCCTTAGTAGAGCTAACAAATTATGATAAAAATTTGCCATGAAGTAAAATAATTTAGTAGGGCACATCTACAAGTAATGAAAATACAATTGCAATTACAAAATCACAATCATACTTATTACTTAAATTAAACAATAGTAATAGTAGCGAATAGCGATGAGCGTTGAATCAACGATCTTGTTGATAGTTGAATCAACCGTTGATCTCCTGTCGACACATTAACGTTTACCGTTTATGAATCAACTAGTTGAATTCGTCAACGACGTTTATGAATTTAACTCGTGCGTCTCGTTAACGCAACGAACTGAGCTAATTAAAAAACTAACGTTGATAATAACGTCATAGATTGTGAGCGATGCTCATGTCATACAATTTGAACTCTAATTAACCTAAAAAAGAGTTTATTTTCGAAATATTTATTTTAAGAATATTACTTATGACAATATTGCCACGCTCGTGCCGTCCGAGAGAAATAGGTTAATACTAGTTTGTTTATATATTATACAACGATAGGTAGTTCGCTTTCTTTAATTTTTTGATTGACAGTTTGTGACAAGTTGCGCGGAAGGTCAGAAGTTATTTTGCGGCTTATCGTAACTGTTTAGAGTTTAAACTTTTTAGTTAATGTTTATAGTTACAGTGTAAATTTGTTTGTGTTAATATAATTGTGTATATTTGCATAAAATAGGATTGCTTAAAGTACAAAATTGAAAACGTCGGGACGTACTGGGGTAACAGTGAATCGTGGCTGCATTTCGAAAATATTAAAAAAAAACAAACAAAAATTAAAAAAAAAGCTATAAAATACATATTGCAAATAATAATTGATTATCGCACATAGAAACAAATGATCTTTTAATACGCCTGAGTAGAATATGATTTATAGCTAATTGTATTCAATCAGTCCTAAGCCTAAAGAAAAAGTAAGAAGAGAAGGCCATCTAAGTAGAACCATCAACAAACGTTTTCCAATACATACATTGAATCAAATTGTTTCTAAAATTGAACATCGTAACGTTGAATTAAAACCTTTCAATGAATTAACGGTTTACGTTGCAAGTTGACATTCGTAGTACGTTCACTCGTTGACGAATTTAACTAGTTGACAAAGTTAAATCAACGTTAACGTTTCGTTAACGAAAAAACCGTCAACGACCCATCTCTAAATAGTACAATTACAATGAAATCATAGATAAATGATTTCTATATAGTTTGTGATAAATGAAATGACAAATGAATCCAAGAATGAATCACATGAATTTTTTTTAAACTGGCTTTACGGCTCTGGGTTCTAGCCCTTCTGAACCTTAGACTTGAATCACATGACAGATCTTGAACAGATCCTTACGCTTGAAGAAGGATGAATGAATGAATGAATCAGCTTCTGAATTCTGAAAATGCTGCCATGCGTAATTCTTCTTATGGTGGCACTTCACATGGCTATTTGTATTTGCGTATTTGCTGTATTTGACAAATAACTTCATGTGTGCAGAGTATATTTGCCATACTTATTGCCGTATTTGCTCATTTGGCAAATATAGTCAACGACAATACGACTTACCGATCGTCTGTCGGTTTTTCAAGGCTTATCAAAGTAAGCAAATACGCAAACATACTGGCCACACATGGTCGAGCTCATAAGCGCGCGAACTGTCAACCAGTACAGACGGACCTGTTTATAACCTCTTAATAAGTGATTATTTAGGTACCTACTGAAAATGAATTGTGACAAAGAAATCGTCGCCTTGCTCTTGGTAGTTTTTTCATCACTGTATTTTTTACGCATAACATATAATAGTAACATGCGTTCAAATACTAACATTCAGCTGCAAGTGCAACGTCCATTTTATAGGTACAATTACTTTCTGCTAGCAAACATGTTTATTTTTTGGTATTTGGCTCCATGTGTAGACGGTTGTATCGCTTATTTGCCCGTACGACGGATTTTTTGCCAAATACGGCAACATGCAATCACAAATACAAATAGCCATGTGAAGTACCACCAAGGCAAACTCATAGAGCCAACTATTATTTATTCTGTGATAAGGCATCATATTAATCTGTGTGCGTAAACATCATACTACTCTGTGATGCTGCTGTAGCGTAGATTTTTTTGGAGTTTTGGCGGGAACTTATCCGGCGGCGGATTGCTGCTCCTGTGTTATTGTTTAAATAATGGTTTGAAGTGGATTTTGATATGTAAAAGTGGTGTTATTTTGTGTATTATTAGTGGAAACGGTGAAACAAATGCTCTGATGGTGATGTGATACTCAAGGTGTCTGTCTGCTTGGGCGCCTTGAGATGCCATCGCCAACTGTCAGCTGTCTGCTGGCTCAAGTTGCCGTCAAAATCTCGCAAGGGCTGCACAATGTGACGCATCAACATATTGTGAAGCATTGTACTATGAAGGATAATTATACATTGTAACTTCAGGCTCAGAAGTGCTAGGAACCCAGAGCCGTAAAGCCAGTTATAAAAAAAGGTAGATTTTTTTGTAACTTTAGGCTCAGAAGGGCTAGAACCTAGAGCCGTAAAGCTAGTTTAAAAAAGCAGAATTTTTATTAAGATTTTTGACTTAGATGCTTGTCTTTTAAGCCACGTCTTCATATTGTTGGGGATCTTCAGTATCAAGTGATAATAATCCCGTATACTACACTGCTTCACAATATATTGATGCATCACATTGTGTAGTTTTAGACACCTTATCTTGACGTTCACATCACCATCGGGGCACTTGTTTCATCGTTTCCACTAATATTTTACATAGGCATACATTTAATACACAAAATCGCACCACTTTTACATATGTACGTTTGTACGTGGTAAAGCCAAGCTGCAGCTATATTTATAATATAGTTGTAGCACGAATGGGTCGGCTTGATCGGGGAAGGACCAGGCTCTCACAGAATACCAGCGTAAAATATCAGCTTAATGCTACTGTGTTTCGTATGGTGAGTGTAGAGAACCGGTGACCCTTATTACTGGAAAAGAGGCATTCCATCTTAGTCCTCAAGGCTGACAATGCATCTGCATTTTTATTCGCAAACGCGGATAGATGTAGATGTCTATGGGCCACAGCAACCACTTACCATCAGGTGTACTGTGTGCTCGTTTGTCACCCTATTTCTATTAAAAAAAATATCAAAATCCATTATTTAAACAATAATACAGGAGCAACAATCCGCCGATGGTCATGTTCCCGCCAAAACTCTACTATAGAGACTACGCCACATAGTGAGAGTATATGTACCAAGATAGTCGTAGTATATCCATATATATCTATATCTTTAAATCGTATCTCTGTATTTTAAGCTTTTAAACGAAAAAATTAAAGTATTTTGTGTAGTTTGAATATGATGTTTATTTTAGTTACACAATGAGAATTATTTTTAGTAATAATGAGAGATGCGTAATTTGTGAAACTCGTTACCAAAAGGAAAGTAGGATAACATTCCACAAGTAAGTGAATGTACAGCTAATATTAAAAAAAAGCCTATTTGATAATATAGGTAGTTAAATATTTGTTACTAACTTAATATCGTTATTACCAACTTGTTTGGCATTATATTACTCAGTTTCGATAAACAATAAAATTCAATAGGGTTGTCGAGTTCCTTGTCTACAATTCTTATGGATGTTCTTTTATACCCATACCTGTTAACAAACAAAGTCGCCGACAACTGATAATTATCCAATATTACTGTTGGTTGAAAATGGTAAATGGACTGTAATTTGCATAGACGCTGGCTGATTCTACTCGATACCGTTAACTAGACAATATTACTAAGGTCGGACGTACCTGAATATACGAAGGCGGATGGTCCTGCTCTCGTGCGCTTCTTCGGGGATCCCAGCTACACGGATTTCGGTCACTCACGATTATCCAATTCTAGGAATAACTTGCGGCGGAACATATATTAGGGAGCAGCGAAAAAACGTGCCATTTCTCACGACGCGCGGCGTTGACAGTATGTGATCACGTGACGGGAAGATGTCCGTAATTTTAACGGACCAATAGTACGCAAGAATCCCATCGACCCGCGAAATACACGGACATCCAAACCAAAGTAACATTGGTGTAACAGTTGCGAGTATTCAGAGCAAAATAAACAAAGAAATTTCGGCTGCTTATTAAACTAGCCGAACCATTCCTCCCGGCCTTGAAAGGGAAGCTTTCAAAGGTGTAATCATCTTTATCGACCAAATTAATTTATTCTCACTTCCATGAACCTTATTACAACATACTAAAGAATGTTTGTTAACTACTTATATCTACTTAATCCCACTAACTTATCTATGACTTATTATCTAGAGGCTAATCTACCCTTTACCTAAATAATTTGTGAATTTTACTGAGTTGGTAATGGACACAATTTAACCACTGGTCTTTGGTAAGTACCGTGCTTAGTCCTTACCATTGCTACACGTATAACGTCGTCCTTACCTTTAAAGGTTTGTGTTATAATGCCTAAGGGCCAATGTAAGGGCGTGATGTTATCCTGTATTACTACAACAACCGTTCCTTCCTTAACTGGGAAGGATGGTGAGTTCCACTTCTGGCGGGCTTGTAGGCTATGAAGATATTCTCTCCTCCATCGCATCCAGAATGACTGTACCAACTTGTCTAAGAGTTCATATCGAGTTAGAAGATGCGGAATCGAATCATCGATATCAGGTGCTGGCAGGAAATCAAGCGGGACGGTATGTAAAAAATGAGCTGGCGTCAAAGCTGCTGGATCTGAAGGATCAGAGCTGAGAACTGTAAGTGGTCGTGAATTCAATATGGATTCAATCTGGCTTAAAACTGTTTGAAGCTCCTCAAAGGTTAGAATTTGTTGGCCGATGACCCTATATAAATGGGTTTTTATGCACTTGATGTTACTTTCCCAGCAACCACCGAAGTGTGGAGCATTAGGAGGAATCAGTTTCCATTGGATACGACTTTCTGCTAACTGCTTTTCCCACACTGGTTTATATTCATTCTTTAGAAAAGCGTACAAATCGCGAAGATAAGATCGGGCACCAATAAAATTAGTTCCGTTATCGGTATAAAAACATTGAACCGATCCCCGTCTAGCTAGGAATCGTTTCATGG